TGCATAGGCGGTCTGCTAGGTATTCAGTAAAGCGGCTAATGCATAGGGCATAGGAGTTGAAACTTTGTTAAACATCTACAAGTTCGCCGACTCAGCCACCTTTCGGTTTGTGCTTCATTCCGTTCATCAGGTCAAGGGGAACTTCGTACTGATACTAGCTCTTGCGAGCAACAATCTAAGTGTGTTTTCGCCACAGGGTCCCACTGAGGGCTGTGGTGTGATCCCCGTCGAGGGGCGCTGCATGTGCATAGACCCAGATCCTGGGGATACCATGCCGCAGGGCTTACTGAGACTCACACTCCAGTCCGGACTTACATTTTGGATTGACCGTCTTTGCTTGATACCACTGATCCGATGCCGCAGGGCTTACTGAAACTGTGCCGCAGGGCTTACTGAGATTTCAACCGATTCGGATTTGCACTTTCATGCCCGTCTAAGTAATCACAGGCGGGGCTTAGGACGCGGGCATGTCAAACCACCGACTGCGTTTGTTGCATGTGCTGTTCATGCTCTTCGGTTCTTTCTCTCTTTTTGTTGCTTTTCGTTTCTTGAGGCCTTTCTTTAGGTTCCAGGTGTCTTTCAGACAATTGGTTGCGCCGGCCCAAATCGGCTTCACTTGAGTGCCAATGATGGCAAGCCTACGGGCCACCCTAACCCACCCTCCCCCCTACCTCCCTGCCCCTGGGCCTCCGTTGCTATCCCACCCGCTATTCGGGCAACAGAAGGAAATCGGACTCAACACACTTGTGTGTTGGTGCCTTTCCTTCTGTTTCTCCTTTCCTATTGCTAGCTACCCGGGCGGTTTAAGACAAAATGTCCCGCTCGCGTTCTACTTTCATTTAAGTGGGCCTCGTAACTACACCTATCTTTCTTTCTTGCCCTCTTAGTCTGCTTTTGTTTTGTTTGCTTTCACTGTCTTTCTAAGGCTTTTTAGGTGGCTAGTACTTTTCAAACAGTGCCAATATTGGCGCTATGTGTACAAAGCTTTGCGACACAAACAACGCTACTAGGGGCTTCTGGCCTCGCTACCAGGAGCCACGACGGTACTCCTGGGGGCCTCTGACCTTTCTGTGTAAGGACGCTACTAGCGACTCCTGGCCACGCTACAAAACTGCAAGCAAGGGACAGTGCGCCGAGTACGGCTTCGTGTGTGTGTCCACACCTGTGCCTAAGGTTTTCAGTCACAAAGAACGCTACTAGGGCCCCTGGTTTTGCTACTAAGGGCTCCTGGTGTCGCTACTAACATATAGTTTCTCAGCGCGGAAAAAAGAGGCAGGGGGCCACAGACCTGCCACTGCTGCTGTGGCCAACGAAGACCGGCAGTGGTAGGTGTGAAAACGTACCTGCAAAACTGTTTAAAGCGGCTAGTGCATAGGCGGTCTGCTAGGTACTCAGTAAAACGGCTAATGCATAGGCGGTCTGCTAGGTATTCAGTAAAGCGGCTAATGCATAGGCGGTCTGCTAGGTATTCAGTAAAGCAGCTAATGCATAGGCGGTCTGCTAGGTATTCAGTAAAGCGGCTAATGCATAGGAGTTGAAACTTTGTTAAACATCTACAAGTTCGCCGACTCAGCCACCTTTCGGTTTGTGCTTCATTCCGTTCATCAAGTCAAGGGGAACTTCGTACTGATACTAGCTCTTGCGAGCAACAATCTAAGTGTTTCTCTTCAGTTGCGGAGATGCAACTGGATGGCTGGTGTCAAATCCAGGTGGTTATTTGACACTTCACGATGGACATGGGGACATGGCATGGATCACAAGATTTGATTTGGATGTGAAGCTCAGCAGTGGGTGCTTGATATATCTTGATATGGCTTGACTGGATGCTGACAAACAAGTTCAGAAGGGCATGCAACATGGTACAAAGGCCATTGGAAGTCACGTGCACACGGGGCTTGCGCTTGAACGTGCTGGACCTCACAGTAAGCTTGAATGACCAGTACCAGAACAATGTCTTATGCAAGCGTGGAATATGCTCCACAGCCACGCGTGGACACATCGTCCATTACTCGGATTGCAGGGCTTCACCAAATCTTGCTGCCTGCACCTTCGGCGACTACCTGTTCGAAGCCTTGGATGAAGCAAGTAGCAAGACCACAGATTACCACTGACATGCCTTGACTTGGAGTGTACATCTCAGGGTTTTTGCCCTTGAACTCCTCTCTAAACGATGTCACTGGAGGTTTCAGGAAGAGGCCTCTCCCACTTCGAGACGACAGTGACATAGCCGTCGCTTTGGATGCATGTCTCTAGTCTCTACAAAGTGGAAGCACAAATGTTGAGCAAAGAGGAAGATTAGAAAGGACACCTACATAGGACTGTGTTCGGCCAAGTGGCCTGTTGTACCTCACACGCCACGGCTACAAGGTATGAGGCTTGTAAACTCACGGCATTCCTTGTGAAGGAATGATCCTTCGATGGCTTACAATTTGCTGCACCTCGCGGCTATGGGCTTGGGCTGATCTGCCACAGCTGTGACGACCCACTAGGGCCACTAGGGGGATTGGCAATGGGCATTTTCCATCTGTGGCAGGCTTTTCGAAGGGGTCCCTGAGCGATGTGTGGACTTTTATCAGGAAGGCCAGGCTTAAGGTAGCATGAGATACCCTGATTCTCAAGAACAATTGGGCGCGATGTCAAAAAGTCTCATTACCTGTCCTCTCCTCACTTTCCTGCCCCTTCAGTTCCTCTAATACCAACTCAGGCCATGATCTATATGGAGAAAGGGACAGCAGCAACATTGT